GTTCGAGTTGACAATAAGTTAATAAATCGAAAAGACGCTAAGCAAGATAATGTGTCTATGGAAATAACAAGAGGCAGAACTAGTCTGGTACAATCAAAGTTACTAGAAACAAATGTGATTTTGAATAACCTTCTGTGTACAGTACTGTAAAAATAAAAGCTTATTCAGGGGAAGGACAATCACTCTAGCAGACTTCAATTCACAACCCAACCCTCTTTCCTGCCATTTTTATATTATGATTACTGAATAGCAATATCACATATTCTGTTAACAGCCAGCCTTGTTATGCAGATGAAAAACCACCTTACAGCAATATTAGTTGCTATTTCCAGGAGCATATCTCATTTTAATTTTAATAGTGTATAAATCATAACTAATATAGACTGCTTTTGTCAAATAAACTCAACTCCAGTAAATCAGACTAGATGATTTCAAATTTGAATAAAATACAAATATGCGTGTAATATGTTTTGTTAGAATCTTTAACCAATACACCATTTAAAGTATTAGTAGAATCTATGAGTGATTCTTATTTAATTATATAACTATCTTGATTCCTACTATTTGGCACTTTACTATTGTAATTAACTTCACCTCAAGCCATAGAATTTATTAAATACACCTTCACATATCAATCAATGCATATTTAAGGTCTCGAATCTTCTGCAAGATCATATTACCTGTTATAGTACTGGTAAATTTTAAAAAATTTGACGCATTGAATAGTATCATTTAACTGCTATTAGACCTGCCCATTAGACCTGCAATTAATATGTTGAATGATAAGTCATTCAACTTATATTTGATATATTAAATAATATGTCATGTGGCTTCTGTGGCTTCACGAATATTAATGTTCATGAAGCCACAGTAGCTACATAACATATTATTTGATATATTGAATATAAGTTGAATGACTTATCATTCAACATATTAATTGCAGATCTAATGGGCAGGTCTAATGGCAGTTGAATAATGCTATTCAATGCGTTGAATTTTTTAAAATTTACCAATATAGCAAAATCTTTGTTTAATCATATTAGATAAAAGTCTTCAAAATATACTCTTTGATTATATAATCCAATCGGCTTAGAGATAATAAAACTGATTACTGTCTTGTAGCATTACTAAGTTACTCTAGTAATAAACAAATTGTAAAAATGAAAGCATTTTGCATTTTTCTGGTTCCTCTTTTTTCTTTTATTATTTAGTATATCATACCTTAAATAGCTTTTATATTTATAATTACTCCAAGTGGGTGGATAAGAGAAGAACCAGTCTAATGATATAAGGCAAGCAATAGAAAAAAAATTTTACTTACTAAGAAGAGAGGGTTGGGTTATGAATTGAAGTCTGCTAGAGTAATTGTCCTTCCCCTGAATAAGCTTTTATTTTTACAGTACTGTACACAGAAGGTTATTCAAAATCACACTTGTTTCTAGTAACTTTGATTGTACCAGACTAGTTCTGCCTCTTGTTATTTCCATAGACACATTATTCTGCTTAGCATCTTTTCGATCTATTGACTTATTGTCAACTCGAACTAAATATAAACCAATATGTATATATGTTTAATAGTAATAACGATAATAGTAATTATAGTTAGAGATAACAAAGCCAATACTAATTAGTACTATGATTAAGATTTGAATAAGTATATAGCAAACCTATTTCAATATATAATCAATATAGTTGATCAATATAAAAAGCAAAAAATAAGAATATATTTTATTTTAATAAAAAAAGAAGAATAATAATTTTTTAATTATAAAAATTATAATATTCTCTATTTCTTTTAACAAAAAGAAGTTCATTAACTGTATTAGGTTTAAGCCTATTTCTTTCATTTGTTATTTGTTTATTCGCATCACTAAAAAGATATTCACAAGAAACAGATGTTGAAGAAATTCCTAAATATTTTTGTGATATTTTAAAAAGGGTTGGAAAATTATTTTTATTTTCTTTCTACCGTATATTCTGATTTTAATAAAGCAATTGCTTTTTCTTTCTCATTTTCTAACTATCTTTTTATTTTTTTGAATCTAGGATCTAAGAGACTTGCAAGTAAAACAGAATCTGGCAGAAAATCAAAATATTTAAAGAGGGCATCATAGATTGTATTTTTAACCAATTTAATAATTTTATCAATATTTGGTTTCTTAGGTTCGTCTACTTCGTTATCAGTATTATCGTCAGTATTATCATCAATATCTTTTATCTCAGGTTCTTCTTCAGTTTCGTCTTCAGTTTCTTCATTATTAGATATTTCTTTTATAATATTTATAATTATTAAATTAATATATTATTTAATAAATAAATCACAGTTAAAATAACAAATTTAATAATTTTATTAACAATTACTATTGATAGCTTATTTAGCTAATATTATAAATTTAGTAAAAATATATGCTTGCAACTAATCAATACCTAATCCTAATCATATTTAATGTTAGCTAAATAAATTAATTTAACCTGTAATTTTTGCTGATTATATTATAAAATTTGTATTCTTTAACTTCAATTTACTATATACTTAAATAAATAAATAATACCTTTACTATTTTCTTCAATTATGATATAATCATATTTTAATACTTGAATTGTAGGAAATATTAATGATAATATGCAATATTTTTGACCACTAAGCCACTCCATTACTTCTTCAATTGGTTTAAAAAGTTCAATTAGTTGATCAAGCAAGTCCCATTCCCATAATTTTAAGAACCATTTTTTTAATATTTCATAGACTTTTTTCACCTCTCTATTAGTTTTTAAAGAAAGCTTAAAGATTATATACTTTATAGAATTTTTTAATTCTTTTAAGTGTTTTCAAGAAGCTAAGAAAGACCCTATTGAGTATTGCATTCATTAATGGTTCTTAAAATTTTTAAGGGTATATAAACTACTTCATCTGTAGGTTCGGATAATATTTGATCTAAAGTAAAATCTGATGAAACTTGATTAAGCAAAGGTTGGCTAAATGTTGAATTATCCAAAGTCAAATTATAATCATTATTATTAAGACTTTCATATCCTAATTAATGTTGTGCTTCTTCTAACTTTTCATTTTGTTTAGACGAATTGAAAAATTTACTTAAATTTTGAAATCCTTTTAAATATAGATTGATTTTTTGTAAAGCTTTAACTATATATAATTAGAGAATATGTGCTGTATATGATATACATTCAACACCCCCCACTCACAAATTGCCTTGACTATATTGGAACCATTATCTGTAACTACTATTTTAACTTTGTTATTCAGTTCTAAAGATATAAGTTTAGTAATAATAGTGTTACGAATATGGTTACCTGTGTATAGATATTTGATAGGTTCAATACAAACAAGGATATCATATAACTTTATTTTATCACTTAACCAATAGCATATTATTCTGATATATCTCTCTTTAGCATGTGATATCTAAAGATCTACTGTTATAGCTGTATTATTATATGATTTACCAATTAATTCTTTTATTACTTGAAACGTTGTTTGATAACTAATGCCCAAAGTCTTTTTGATAGTTCTATAATATAGCAAACGAAATGCTGAATCAAATTTCTTTATCATATTCTGAAACTCTAACCCATTTACTGCATTAAAAGATTGAGAATCCATTATTATCCAGTTAGTAATGGCATTTAATAATTCATTTTGTTTAGATTCTTTGTGTGGCATTATTTTTTTTAGTTGACTATCAATTTTTAGTTGTGTCTGTCAAAAATTTAAAAAATTTTATTAGCATAAATTTATTTTTTGTTATTTAATATAACGGGTTAAAATAAAATAAGATTAAAGTAAAATTTGTATAGTATAAAATAAAAAAGCCGCCAAAAAATACAAAATTTTGTATTTTTTTAGTTTTTTTTTAAAGGTTAGAGTTAGCTATAGTGGTTGAATTTATAGTAAACAAAGTATAAATAGATTTTAAAATATTAAACAAAAATCTCAAACTTCATTTTAATCTGATTTTATTATAACTCATAACATTAATTCAGTAAAGCATAAATTTTACTTACTAATTTTTCTTTATATTTTTTATGAATAGTATTTAAATGGTGACTCATACTACTAGTTTGAGAATTATATATACAACTTCATTCATATTCCTCATCATCTTCATTATCTTTGTACCTGCAATAAGCATGACCATTGGTCTTTACTCCAAAATATTTCCAAACCCAACTAGTCTTATTGTTGCCAAAATCAACTCATTGAGGTTCTTCAAAATACGGGTCAGAATTATCATCATGATTCTTATTATAATTTTTTTATTTGATTGAGAAAGTGTTGTCTGCTTACTACGTTTCTTTGAATTCGATATTTCAAAAGAAACTAATTAATAAATACGTATCAATATACTGTATTTATATATACGTACACCTATATATAATTATATATTATTGTTATATCATAATTGAAATGAATTAATTTTATAAGTTAATAAGCAAGGATATGCCAAAAACAATCCGGTTAGATCTAGAAATATAGCTATTAATCTAATATCGTGTGAATATGCAGATAAGTATAATTTAATAAATTACTTAATTTGATATAACAATACAGCTACCAATAATAATAATCCTCATTATTAGAATCAATACTTACTATTTGGTTTAGCACTCGAGTCTTTCTGCCTATTCAGAATTTATGTAAATCCACATGAAATTTGCTATTTTGTAATAATTCAAATTTTATATCAAAGTCGGCAGTATGAGAGATCACTAGTTAATACTATATAGAGTATCGTCAACTAAAAGGGCCTATTTTTATATATAAACAATTCTAAGTAAATCAGGTTTAAAAAATACGGCTTAACACGTGATCATCCAAAATTGTAATCTAAAAATAACATTTCATAGTTCTAGAATCATCTAAAATAATCGATCAACCTTCTTACATATAATAAAGATCTTTATTAAATCTAATATAAATTGGTTCTCACAAATATTATTTCAATTGTCATTGGTAACTTAAA